CCCAGAAGTGAAGAGCCGAGCGGGAACTGACGGAAAGAGCCGAAACTCTCCGGAGGTGGCCGAAGGTGGTCCTGGTCCGCAAGGGAGGTCGGTCCTCTCTCTCTGGCTGTGTACAATTCAGCCGCTCGCGACCACGCTGTTTTAACTATGACCCCTTCCGGACCCACTTGCTCCTAAAGGTCATTCCAGAGCCCCAGGGCCACTCAGCCTGGTGGGACAGGGTCAGGAGAGAGGATGTGTGGGCGAACAACTCAAATCCCTCTACGTGGCAGTGCTTAGTAACGCCTGTTGTCGAATCTTTCCGTTTAAGTACCTGTTTTCGTAATCAGTACTCCAACCTCTCCAGGGCCAGAATCATCTCTAGTATTGATGATGTGTCTTTTGAGTTAGCGTCTTACGGGCTGGGTTGGCTGGTCTAGAGAGACAGAGGCTAGAAAGGGCTCACTTGTCTGACCCACATGCAAGCCGAGGAACTTACTTTAAACATGAGATCGGTTTCGACGATTATTTTTTAAATCTGGATTGTGACTTTGTACAAGACATTATAGGCAGTGGTGGCGCATGCCTATAATCCCAGCATTTGGGAAGCAGAGGCAGGCGGATCTCTGTGAGTTCGAGACCAACCTAGCCTACAGAGCTAGTTCAGGACAGCCTCCAAAGCCACAGAGAAACACTATCTCGAAAAAAACAAAACAGACAGAAAAAAAAAAAAAAAAAGACATTCATGTCACAGTTTCAAAAAGGTTGGATACACCTGATAGAAACTGAGGTTCAGACTAAATCACCACTGAAAATATTAATCCTCACATCCTTTGACGCGAACCAACCAAAGGGGCTTTGAACAGGCTGAACTACCTCAAATTTGGGCCGTGCTTTTAAATGGGCACTACGGGCAGGACACAGTTTTGGTTTCCATACATTTCTCACTCCAGTTCTAGGTCATATAATTGACTACTACACCATGTGTCAACCAAGTCGTTATGTGATCCTTGTTTGCTTTGCTTTGCACGGTTTTGTTTTTGTTGGGACAAGATCTGGCTACTAAGCTTCTGCAAGCCTCCACCTCTGGATCCTCCTGCCTCAGTCTTCTGAGAACTAAGAGGTCCAAGGCCTATGACCATGCTGATGGGCACTGGTGCCCTCCACCCCCTCGGCTTAAACATGATAGAAACCGTTCTTTTTAAATGTAATTTTAATATTTTAGATTGATATCTTTTATATGTCTGAGTGTCTTGCCTGCATGGACGTGTTCTGTGGTTGCTGGGAATTGAACTCAGGACCTCTGAAAGAGCAGCCAGTGCTCTTAACCTCTGAGCCATCTCTCCAGCCCCCAAGACACTGTCTTTTTAAAAAGAAACAAGTTGCTGGGTGTAGTAGCACGATCCTTTAATCCCAACACTCAAGAGGCAGGTGGGTCTCTATGAGTTCAAGTCCAGCCTGGTCTCCATAGTGAGCTCCAGGTGCCCAGTTTTATCTTCCTTAACTTTGCATGGGTAGGAGATAAAAAAAAAAAAAAAAAAAATCTGGAACCACACCAGTTGTGATGCACATCTGTAATTCCAATACTCAAGAGGCTGAGGGTAGAGGAAGCCCAAGTTTCAGACCAGCCTAGGACTATATAGTGGGTTCTAAACCAGCCTGAGATGAAGCACAGACTGGAGAGATAGCTCAGTGGTTATGTGCACATACACTGTTCTTCCAGAGGACCTCAGTTCAGTCCCTAGCACCAGCATCAGATTACTCATAACCACCTGTAACTCCAGCTCTAGGGGTATCCTACACCCCAGCTTCTATGGGAGCACCTGCACTCTTGTGATTACACACAGACACATACACATAATTTGAAAAAATAATAAATTTAGCTGTGGTGGTGAATGCCTCTAGTCTCAACACTTGGTGGGGGTAGGGGTATGTGACTTCGAGGTCAGCCTGGTCTACAGAGGGAGTTCAGGACAACCAGTGCTACACCAAGAAACCCTGTCTCAAAAACAAAAACAAAATTAAAACAATGCTGAGCAGTGGTGGCACACGACTTTAATCCCAGCACTCGGGAGGCAGAGGCAGGCAGATCTCTGTGAGTTCGAGACCAGCCTGGTCTACAAGAGCTAGTTCCAGGACAGCCTCCAAAGCCACAGAGAAACCCTGTCTCCGAAAACAAACAAAAAAAAAAAAACCTCTGAAGTATGATGAGCCCTGGTTAACACGTGTACAATCTACTCCAAACATAATTATCCAGATTTAAAAGGCAAATGGCATAGTTCAGTTGGTAAAAGTGCTTGTCATACAAACATGAGGATCACAATTGTTCAATTCCTGGAACCCTTCTGAAGAAACAACAAAACAAGAGTGGTGGCTTGGCCTTGTTATCTCAGCATTAGGTGAATGCTGGGTTTGGAGATGGGAGAATTCCTGAGGCCGATCTGCAAGCCAGCCTAACCTACTCGGCACATTCCAGGCCAGTTT